GTCCAAGATCACGAGTATACCTCAAGTATCTCATAACCTTTACTATTGCCTTCCAGTGCATGGCACCGGGGTTACTCGTATATCTACTGAGTTTACTAACCGCATAGGCAATATCCGGCCTAGTACAGCTCATAAGATACATCAAACTACCAATAACCTGAGCATATTCCACTTGTGAAATACCTTCTCCGTGGTTCTTGGTTAGATGAATGTTTGTATCAAATGGTGTCCTAGCCACTTGACTATCATCCTTGTTAAATTTCTCAAGGATTTTGTCAATATAATGTGATTGGCTCAACACGAGACCATCAGGTCTTCTAATGATTCTAATCCCGAGGATTAAATCAGCCAAACCCATATCCTTCATGTCAAATCTCGTATTTAACATGTTTTTGGTAGACTTGATCATCCGATCATTACTACCAACGATGAGAATATCATCGACATATAAACAAAGGATGACGTAGCCGTCTATCGTTTCCTTAACGTAGACGCATTTGTCACTTTCGTTTATTTTAAACCCCTTAAGCGATTTAACCAACTTACACACTTTCCTCTCTTGGCCCGGATCCACGAACCCTTCGGGTTGTTCCATATAGATTTCTTCATCTAATTCGGCATTTAGGAAAGCGGTTTTCACATCCATTTGATGAACTTCCAAGTTCCGCAACGCGGCTATGGCAAGTATCATCCTAATGGAATTTATTCTCGTCACGGGAGAATACGTGTCGAAGTAATCGAGGCCCTCGCGTTGACTATAACCCTTGATTACAAGCCTAGCCTTATACTTCTCGATGGAACCGTCCGGTTTTATCTTCCTTTTAAAGACCCACTTGGATCCTAAGGGTTTACTACCCGGAGGAAGATCAACCAGTTCCCAAGTGTGATTCTGTAGAATAGAATCCACTTCACTTTTTATAGCCTCTTTCCACATTGGTCCTTCCGTAGAAGTCACGGCTTCTACATACGTTCGAGGCTCGTTCTCTATCAAACAAGATAGAAAATCGGGTTCATTTTCTAATAAACAAGTTAGAGTACCCGAATCGTACTCTAACAAGTAAGTTAGAAAATCAGGACCGAATGATTTTCCAACTCTCGCCCGCTTACTGCGTCTCGACTCGAGCTCGGGTTCTCTCTCGGATTCCTCATTATCATTATCCATAGTTTCGTCAAACGTTCGTTTTGACGTACTTGGTCCCTCGTTGGACCTACAAGGAAATATATTTTCGAAAAAATATGCATTCCTTGATTCTATTATCGTGTTCTCGTGTACATCCGGATTATTGGACTCGTGTACTAAGAACCGATAAGCACTACTATTATGTGCATAGCCAATAAAGATACAGTCCACCGTCTTAGGACCTATCTTTACTTTCTTAGGTGTTGGCACCAAAACTTTGGCAAGACACCCCCACACTTTCAGGTACTAGTAGGAAGGTTTCCTACCGTTCCACAGCTCATAAGGAGTCTTATCGAGCTTCTTTCGGGGTACCTTATTCAAAAGGTAGTTACTTGTCAAAATCGCCTCACCCCAAGCATCTTGAGGTAGGCCCGAACTTATAAGCATCGCATTCATCATATCTTTCAATGTACGATTCTTTCGTTCGGCAACACCGTTCGATTGAGGTGAGTAAGGTGCAGTACGCTCGTGTATTATCCCTACACTCGCACAGAAGTCACCAATAGGTGCTTCGTACTCACCACCTCGATCGCTTCTAACCTTCTTAATTCTCCGATTAAGTTGGTTTTCCACTTCATTCTTATAAAGAACGAATTTATCAATGGCTTCATCTTTGCTCTTAAGCAAATACACATAGCAGTATCGTGTGCTATCGTCGATAAATGTGATAAAATACTTATTACCACCTCTCGTTTGTATCGATCTAAAATCGCACAAATCACTATGGATTAATTCTAGTGGTTCAGTTTCCCTTTCAACCGACTTGAAAGGTACTTTCGTTAGTTTTGCCTCAACACAAATTTCACACTTGTTATTTGTGTCAATTTGAAAGTTAGGAATATGGTTCATGCTAATTAATCTACGCATAGAATTAAAATTAACATGACCTAGTCTACCATGCCACAAACTGGAATACTCAAGCAAGTAAACAGAATTAACTTTGCTTTTATTGATAACAGGAATTACATTGAGCTTAAACAGCCCATCAGTTACATATCCTTTACCAACAAACATCCCTAACTTGGACAAAACTACTTTGTCTGACTCGAACACCATACGAAAGCCATGCTTGTTCAACAGAGAGCCAGACACAAGATTCTTCCTCAGCTCAGGAACATACAGCACGTTGTTCAACGTTAGTTCCTTCCCGGAAGTCATCTTCAGAACCACCTTGCCCATGCCTTCCACAGCAGACTGAGCAGAGTTTCCCATCCACACCTTTTCACCATCAACGGTCTCAAAGGTGTTAAACATTTCTCGGTTGCAACACAAGTGCCTGGTTGCACTGGTATCAATGAACCACTCACGAGGGTTTGAACCCACGAGGTTCACTTCGGTCACCATAGCCGAAAGGCTAATCTCGACCTCCTTCTGACTGCTATCTCCAACAACATTGGCTTCAGAACTCTTGTTCTTTTTCCTTGGAGCCTTGCATTCAGATGCTCTGTGGCCATGCTTGCCACAATTGTAGCATTCACCAGGAAACTTGTTCTTGGTAACGCCACCTTTCGGACCTAGCTTTCGCTTGTCCTTCTGGTTCCTCTTGGAGCTCTTACCGTGCTCCACAACGTTGGCCTTAGCGCCAACAACGATAGGAGCCTTCCTATCATTCGTCCTGTTCCCTTCCTCAATCCTGAGTCGCTGGATCAGGTCCTCCAGATTCATCTCCTTTCGCTTATGCTTAAGGTAGTTCTTGAAGTCCTTCCACCCTGGAGGCAACAAATAGATCACAGATCCCACTTGGAAGGCTTCACTTAGCACCATGCCCTCGTCACGGATCTCATCAAAGATTAATTGCAAATCTTCTACCTGACTTAGCGCGGTCTTTGAATCAACCATTTTGAAGTCGAGGAATCGGCCAACTACAAATTTCTTTGAGCCGGCATCCTCACTTCGGTATTTATGATCCAAAGCTTCCCACAACGCTTTTGATGTGCTTATCTTTCGATATACATCATATAGCGTGTCACACAATCCATTCAGGATGTAGTTTCGGCAAAGGAAGTCCGAATCCTTCCAATAGCCAACCGCCATCACGGATTGTGCATCTTGTTCCTTCAACTCGGGAACACTCTCGGACAAGAACCTTGCCAGGCCCAGAGTTGCTAGGTAGAACAACATCTTCTGTTGCCACCTCTTGAAGTTCGAACCAACACCGGTGAACTTCTCTGGCTTTTCAGCCGAACCACTCGGTACCGAAGGTACCCGAGACATAGGAATATATCCCTCAGTGCTCCCACCATCTTGTGAACCAACGTTCACTGGTGTAGCTTGGGAATTAGCAACATTGTTGCCATTCCCTCCACTGTTATCCGCAACCACATTATTGTTGTCGTTTCTTCCATTGTTGTCCGCAACAACATTATCCTCCCCATCAATTGGCAGTACGGGATGCTCCATTTTCTTCAAGGAAATTCGGAGAAGACCACCAACGGGAAAACAAATATATATAAGGTTTTAAGACTGTTGGTACCGTTGGTAGAAAACACAAATAATAATCAAAAAATAAGATTATTATTTTTCTGGAAAGAAGGGAAGAAAAGATGAAGAAAAGTGGCTAGTGTTTGGTGTTGGGTTTTTGCAAGAGTCAAGTGAGCACTCTTTCCTTAAAACCTTATTTGCCACCTCCCAAAGATGCTAGGAGCGTTGTGGCCTAGGCTTCCCAGGATAAAACTTGCTAATGATTCAATGTTTGAGCACTCAAACAAGGAATCCGGCGAGCAAGACAATGGCTATGAACACATTAGGTCAAGAAAGAGTAGAAGCAGAGAGGTTTTGAAGCTGAAAAAAAAAAAACGAACTTTCGTGTTCTATGTTTTTGTGTGTAAAACTCTACTGCCTCTACCCTCTCTTATATAGGGTTGAAGGAGCCAATAGCCTTTATTATGGCAATTAAAAATGACATTAAAGCTGCCTTCCAACAGCTATAACAGCAGGCCACTACCTGGGAATTGAATTCAGAATTCAAAATTGGAATTAATAGACAATTAATTCCGTAACCGATGAATTCAATCCCCTCAACAGTCAGAACTTTCGGGTTCCTGACCGTTAGCGTACAGGGTTCGGTCTCAACTTTCGACCTCATCCAGTTTCGGCCCTTGCACCTCTCGTGGACTCTGTTGCATGAGAGTTGTGCTCTCGGTGCACCACAACCTCTCGTGCTCTCGGTTCGGTTTTGGCCGAACCAAGTGGCTATACCAGTCGGAAAATGATACCGAAGTTTGGCATAACTTAGCCCGCAAGGCCAGCCAATTTTCGAACGACATTCGTGCCCCCAGGTGCCGGCGCACACGAGCTCGGGCTTGAATCAAGCCTTCTTTCAATCTCTGCTAGTTGGAATTTGATTTGCACCCCCCCCCCCCCCCCCCCGCGCGCGAGAGAGCCTCTATGCTATACAATTCTACAAGCTTCAAAAGAACTCTTGTATATAAGGGGGGAAAATCTTCATTCCAAAGCAATGTGGGACAAAAGCACACTTTTTCCCCTCATTTTCCAACTCAAATGGGTCTACTTTGAGAATCAATATCTCATTCACCCATTATCCGTTTTGAGCGTACAATATATCGATCTCTTCGTCTCACTACGAAGAATCCGAATCCACTTTAACCCGACCCAAATCGGAAGTGGACCCCACTGATAATTGTACCACAAAATAGCCACTTAACATGTCATTTTATGCCATTTTAAGCTATTTTTTTCCAACATCAACGGCCACGGTAGCAACGCTGTTTAACCATCAAGGTACGGGATGGGATATTAATAAAATTGCAAACATCTTTAATGCTCGTGATGTGTCTTTGATTATGAATATACCTGTAAGTTTGCATAAACCATGTGATTCTTGGTATTGGTATTGGGACCAAAAAGGGGCCTATACAGGTAAGTCTTGTTATAGACGACTAACTCATGTAGTGCCAGACCAACGTCCCTGGACACGTATTTGGAACCTTGATGTACCTCCAAAGATTCGGCTATTCTGTTGGCAGTTTGTATGTTCTTATTTGCCAACACGAGATGCTCTAAATATGAAGTGTATTCATTGTGATTTACTATGCCATATGTGTAATAGGGAAAGTGAGAGTGAAAGACATATTTTTATTACATGCACTGAGGCGGGGAGGGTGTGGACTTTGCTGGGGATACCGGTGACTGGTCTGGCGCACGGGTCTAATGCTTCAGACTGTTTTTTTGGAAATATTGAGCAGCTGCGTGGTGATTTGTTGGCGAAATATGTGATGGCGTGTTGTGGCATTTGGACTAGTAGAAACGATAATGTTTGGAGTGGTATTGCTTTTGACATAAATTTGATTTTGCGTAGGACCATGAGCTTTTGGGAGAACTGGAGGCAGGCTCAAGTGGCTACTCACCAGCATACAAATGGTGATATTGCTACTAACATCACACGATGGACACCACCACCAGTAGGCAAGTTAAAGTTGAACTCGGATGCCACTATTAATCAGGTGGCAAATGCAATGGGGTTTGGGTGGGTTTTACGGGATGAAGATGGTGCCTTCTTGGCGGCTAAAAACATGCAGGCTCCCAGATCTTACACTGTTGAGGAGGCCGAGGCAATGAGTCTGAGAGAGGCTTTAAGTTGGCTAAAGGATACGGGCATGGGTGATGTTGTGGTAGAGATAGATTCTCAACTTGTTTTTCATGCAATTCTTACTAGTCCTTTTAGTTCGGCTTATGGTTTTTTAGTAGATGATATTAGAGAATTGGCGTCTATGATTGGTGATGTTCAATTCGGTTGTGTTAGGCGATCTGCGAACTGTGCCGCCCACATTGTTGCTAGGGAGGCCTTTTCTGTGGCAGGTTGCGGGGAATGGTTTGATGTTCCTCCCGATTTTTTGATTAGCTGTCTGGCTAATGATTTAATGCAATAAGCTGTTTTTCTCAAAAAAAAAAAAAAAAAAAGCGATCATCATTTCAAACACAAGCACTTTGAAATTAGTCGAGTCAAAATAGATATTATGTAGTGTTCGAGCGTCATATGCTTACAAAGAATCAGATTGTGATGAGATTGGATGTGCAAACCTAACCTTCCCAACTTCACTCATAAGTGATGTAAGGTATGCTGATGGTATGTTTTGTTTGGTTACCCGCATTCAAATTAGTCTTGACAATTATGTTTGGGATATTTCTATATGGAATCCGTCCTCTAGAGAAATTATTAAATTGCAAAATATCAAGGAACTAGACAAATCCGATCCAGACTATACAACAATTGGATTTGGGCTTGCTTCCAACATGACTGGAAAGGGGATCCAATCGTAATGGTTTGTAGCAAAGACGGTAATAATTCATGTGGTTGGAAAAGATTTAGTCATAGTTTGGGCATTTCTTATGTGGATAATAGTCGTAGTAATTTGTATTTAAACGGAAACTATTATTGCCGGCTCACTTCCGGCGGGACGTTTGTTAGGCGTCGGCCGAGTTCAGCCCCTGCTCGATTCGGAACGTAGCACTGTGGCTTACCATGGAGAGATGTGGTTAAATTGCTAATGTCCACCTACCTATCACCAATTGGTTTTAAGTAGGATATGGCAACCAGGTACCATAGAACTCCGTGGTTAAGCGTACTTGACTTCCGGCAATCCCGGGATGGGTGACCCCCTTGGAAGTAAGCATAGTGCAGCGCTGAGATCCAACAATTGGTATCAGAGCCGAGGTCACGGGTTCGAATCGATGGCGAGGTGAAAGCCGAGTCCAGTCCCAGGTGGGATGTGGGCGTAGGTGCGACAGGTGCTGGGAGGGGGATTGTTGGGCGTCAGCCGGGTTGGCCGAGTTCAGCCCCTTCTCAATTCGAGACGTGGCGTTGTGGCTTACCATGGAGAGATGTGGTTAAATGGTTAATGTCCACCTACCTATCACCAATTGGTTTTAAGTAGGATATTAGATGGATGCACATGATGTGTTCTCACGTTCTCACCTAAGCACATGTTCTCATATGATCTTAAATCTATGATGAATAACCTGGGGTGGTAGCGCAGATGGTAAATGAGCTCTCTTCGTGGGGGAGAATTTTGGGGCAACCAGAGTTTGACTCCCTTAAGAGATGATTCCCTTCACGCCAGCTCCCAACCTCTCGGAGCAAACAGTTTTGATTCTTGTAGGCAACAAGTAGATCAAGAACAACCACTTCTCTTAGTTTGTTGTGGCAAAAAGTAGATCAAGAACAACCACTTCTCTTAGTTTGATTCTTGTAGGAACCATGGACTGAAGATCGGAGGAGAAGCCTTTGCCTTTGCCGTCAATGCTGCTCGCCGCTGATTTCTTGCTCATGGCCGCAACTCGCCGACATTTCTTGTAGTCATGGCTCGCCGCCGATGCTTCTCGTAGCCACAACTCACCGCCGACCTTTCTCGTCTCTACTGCTGCTGCGCGCTGTTCGCCTAGTCGACCTTTTTTATTTTTTATTTTTTATTTTTTTATAAAGCTAATTTAAAGGTTATGCATGCCTACACGCAAAATAGAGAGGGCTCATGGGAGTATGTGACAGGGAGCAAAGTAACCAGTGGTTTACACATGTATTTCATATTTTCATATATGTGCCCCTGCTAGTAGTGTAGTCCGTTCTCCCCACCAACGGCGCCAATGTTGGTTTTATGACTTTTGGACAGTCAACGGTAGGCCAACACTACCGTTTGAATAACGAGAATATAGGAAAAATATAGGAGAAATATATGGAGAAAATATAGGAACTTTGTATTGAAGAGTATTGCTCGTGAATGCTGAGCCAGTTCCCCCCCTTTCCCCATATATGGGGAGTCTATTTATACATATTTTGGGCCTAGAGCCCTACAAGAAATAAGAATCCTACACTACCTCATATTGGGAGTCTTAGTTACATTGGAATAATAAAACCTAATTTTATTATACTAGAAGTTATAAACCCAATCCTTATTACATTATGAATAATAAGTCCTATAACACCCCCGATTTTCATGTCAATTTAAAGCTTAAATACGTAAAGTAAGTTACTAACATATATCATAAACGTAAGCAACAGCGGAAGTCTAATATAAAATAGGGAAAACCAAGGAGTGTTATGCCACGTTCACCCCAACGTGAACGCACAGGTAAGTCTAAAACCATCCATCTAATTGTTCAACAACTGTGGCACACAGGCCAAAAACACTAACTAAATGTTCAGGGGATCTATACTATCAACGGCTAACGCTCTCGCCATGTCTACTCAGGACCTGTAAAGCACATAAAGAAAGGGGACGACGCCCGGTCAGCGAATAATGCTGGTAACCCATCAATACACGTTCAATAGCATATATAGATAGTATAATACAAAATCATTTTCGAAACGGGATACAGTATATATCAATTCAAAATCGTAAAGAGAGAAGTCAACTTGCAAAGACTCTATTTCACTCTCACAAAGGACAAGGGAATCAACATCCCAAGACAACATCAAGACAAGAACAACATTAACACAAGTAAAACTCGAGATGTATTCTACTGATCACAAAGTAGAATACCACTCGACATGCTTAACGGAAAAGGATAGACAATCACAAATTAGCAACACATGCCACCGTGACACTACATGTCACACGTTCTAGATTCCATGTTTCATCTTTATGACCGGTTCCAACCTTATGGCTACCCCCGACCTTATAACTAGTTCCCACCTTTACCTCCAGGACCCCTGTACTTCTGAGTCCAACCTTATACCTCCGTGAACCGTCGTTCCCCCACCAACAACCACCAACATTTCCATCAACACATAGTACACGAGGGTACCGTTCATTTCAATCACACAACCACCAACAAGTGAGCCTGAAGCCCATAATACAAATCCATAATATCATTTCATGGCCACCACGAGGACCACATCTGTACCTTGGTGATTAATGTCTCATACCATTAATCGTGCAATCCAGGTACAGCCAGCACACACATCATCATAGGAATCAATCAATGGATCACAACAAAGATATGAAACCATACTCAATCAAGGAAGGATTACAATCCGACACCAATGATGATCAACACGAGTTATCATCCACAATAGGAAAGAACAAACCACACACACTAGCATTTCAACATCAAACTAGCATGCTTATCAAACGGGTAAACCAAACATAGTTCCTTAGAACATACAAGACTCATCATGGTTCAACGAATCACAAAGTTGAACACTTAGCACGATTCAAGACACCAAATCCTACATGGATTCCTACCATACCGTTCTAGACATACGAAACATCAAGAAGACACTCAAATAGCCCAACAAAAGAACATCGTGAAGTCAAAATATTAATTACCGAGTCAAAAGAATCACGGGGAACAAATCCCCAAACAATCCCAAAAGAGTACCCCGCGGGTGGGGCCACGGGTGGACCTCCACCCGTGGTTCTGCCCGCGGGTACGAAGCCCTTCATCAACTGTACCCCGCGGGTGGGGCGGCGGGTGGGCCACTGCCCGCCGTTCCGCCCGCGGGTACCGACCCTGTACCAAAATAATCCCTTCGGGGATTTTCAACACCAAGTCCAAATTCAAGTCCAAAACACCCAAAATATCACAATATACAACAATAGGACTTGAATCAAAGGAATAGCCAAGTAATGGCATATAAGAACCCTAATAACAAGCTCTAGATATGCATTCTCATAAGACAATGCATCGAATCTCACATTTCATAGCAAAAATCACAAGTACAAGTCAAGAAATCATCATATAGGTAAGAAAATAGATTTTGTAAAGCATGGGTTACCTCTTGTAGCCTAAACCTTCACTTATCACACCTTTACAAGCTTCTAACAAGGCTCTCCTTCAACTCCAACTTCAAGAACACACCAAAAGACAACAAAGATTCTATCTTTAGAAAAAGACACCTTAAAAGGTACTAAAAACACTAAAGGACCAAGGATCTTACCCTCCTATATGCTCAAGGTTAAGAAAGGTTGAATCTTGGAGACCAACTTGAAGAATCTTGAATTGCCCAAACTTGGCTTGAAGAAGAAGCTAGCTATTTTCTAGAGAGAAGTAGGAGCTTTTCTTTTTAGGGTGTTAGGGAAAAGAAATGAAAGATGACTCTAGGTTAGCTTGGGATACAAACATAAGGTGAAAAGTCTTCTTTACCGTTACTAAAGTGGAAAAGTGTAAGGAGACAAGGGAACAATTCACAAAGCATAGAGTACAACCCATTGACTTGGATTGACTAGTCAATTTCTAGTCCTCCGTCTATTGAATTTTCAGGATTTTAGGAATAAATCACCAATTAAGCTAGGATTAATTATCTAATTAATCCTTAAATAGAATTTGGATTTACGGGGTGTCACAAGTCCAATCCTTATCAAACTCCTAAACTGATCCGTACTTTGTATCTTTCATGGGCTTCCTTGATTCAGTTACTTTCTTGGGCCGGTCCATGTGGCCAGGCCTAGTATACTATCCACCACCTACTAATCTAGTTTTTTTCCCGAGAGGCAAATTAGAGACTAACTATTAGCTATTTCGTTGAGTGAGCATAATGGACAGGATACTATCAGCTCGGGTAAAGATTGCGCTAGCAACTTCTCTCTCAGTTCGGCCTACGCCTTAATTACCAATCCGGAGATCGCAGTGGCTCCACGGACTTGGGGCTTGATCTAGAAGCTTAAAATGCCAAGCCGGATTCACACATTTCTCTGGCTGGCTAGAAACGATAGGCTTGTGACAAATGTAAATAAAGTCAAGCGTGGTTTCACCACTTGCAGTAGATGTGGCGCCTGCGACAGCGAGGAGGAATCAACTAAGCACATCCTTCGAGAATGCCCGGAGGCCAAGGCTGTTTGGGAGAAAGTTTTCCCAACAATGAATCGCATCACACAGAATCGGCCTTTCATCCAATGGCTTGACGATGGAGTCCATGGAGTCAGTAATGACA